GACCAGAGACGTAACAGTACAACAAAAGTGAGCCATAGTATGAATTACAAAAGCTATCTGTCATCAATTAATTAAGTTTAAAACATAGGACTAGGAGGAGTTGATGCTGTTTTAGTTTGATTTTATGGCTAATTAAAGAAAAATTTTACACAAACTGCTTGTATCTTGCCCCTATTGTGATAAAAATATTGTATTGTGGCCAACAAAACATTATACTAAGGAGGCATCAAGATGACAGGGAAGTAGACAAAAAAGAAATGTAGGTCTAAATGACCAAAATAATGGTAATTTTAGAAGCATTTTACAATACAGAGTTGATGATGAAAAGAATATTATTCTATTAACAAAATATATACTGAAAATGACCTTATGGAAGATGTGAAGATAATACTGTAGAAAAGATAATGGGTAAGTTGATAAGCAGGAGATAAAACACAGATTTCCAATACCTCCACTCACAAAAAGTTTTCTCGACTTCTACTGCCCTCTATAGGTGCAAATTTTCGCTCACCACTAGCCTTCCACTCACCCTCACATATGTTAACACGAGATATCTGCATACTAACATGCAAATGATTATGCAGCAACCCTCCACCAAAAGGAGTGTGACACCACCCTTATTGCAACTGCACCCTCTCTAATCTTGCTGTTAACCACTTCTCAATTGGCTGTCTTAGTGATTAGACATGTTTTTGCTCACAGTTGGATTAATATATTCACACATTTTTACTTTTGTAAATTTTTGTTCTTCAGTTACTTTGTTATTTTAGGTTTTCATTCGGTTTGGGGAGAGTTATGAATTATTCTTTTTATCTTCTCACCTTTTTCAATTCCATAAGTTATGCACTCACAGTTTCAGGTGGTCACAACTACTGCTACAGCAGATTTACCAGCCATGTCCACCAGATTGGAACCTCGATTATCAGTCATGAAGTAACAATTCTGGTGTGTCAGGAATTGAATAATTTCATACAACATTCAGAACAAACTTATTATTGTCCTATCATATCTGCTTAAGGTGTGAATGAAGGGGAAGATAAGGATTTCGATAACCTTTCCCCCCTCATGAATATGCCTCTCAGTTGCATGTTGTTTGAGGGGACTTGCACAGGTCTCCAAGATTCTCTTTTTGAGTTATTGATTAATCAGATATGTTATGTTCTGTCTTTGTCTTCAGTTTCCTATGGTTCTACCCTTGCCCTTCTCAGGGACAAGCCTTTGGGTAAGTATTTAGTGTTTCTTCCTCCCCCAGATATTGGGGCTTATTTGAGTCATTTTGGGAAGCAATTGCATTTGGGAGTCAGTATGCCTTGACCCCATGTACTATAGATGATCATGCTTTTGCTTATTATCGTTCCAACTTCCCCTATTTGGACTCGCAAATTTTGGAGTCACTTATCTCTTTAAGGGGGATCTGACCCGGATATTTCGGTTACCTTTTCCCAACTACAGTTTTCCCGTATTCATCTTACTCTGACCACCATTTATTGTTCCTTATCTTCCCTTCATCTTTTGGCTGAGGCTCTTCATCATTCATTCCCCTGAGGGTTTTTCTGATGATACTCTGTCTGTTTTTTACTACCATGGCATGTCTTTCCTCTTCAGCCCTGACTTTATCGACGTGACTGCTCTGCTGTTGGGATTTTCTAGGTCGGGATGCCATTTTATCTTGAGTTTGTTTACCTTCTACTTCATCGTGTGACTTGCTCATGTCACCTTTTTTTATATATATAAAATGTGTTTGGGGGTCTTCCCTATTCATCAAAGACCAGAGTTAAATCAGCCCATCTACATAACTCCCTCTCATCCCTGTTTTCTCGTTTATCCTGCCTGTCTCTCCCCCCCCCCCCTTTCCAGCCCCTTGCCCATTCTGACTTCTTGGACATCTACCATTTGCAATAGAATCCTGTCCGACATTGGTTTCAGCAGATCCAGAGTTGGTGACTATGTTCTTTGGTCAGAGTCAGTGGAGACCAGACTCCTGCACTTTGCCCATGTTTGGAGGTCCTTTGTGGTTGATCCATGGGTTCTGAAAGCTGTTTCCAAAGGTATGGCCCTCCACTTCCATTCATCTCCTCAGTTGTTTCACCATCCCATTTCCTTCCCTCCTCTTCAGAATTCTATTTCTTGCCAGCATCTGTTGGAGGCAGTTCAGGACTTACTTCAAGAGGGTGCCATCATAGGAGGAGGTTTAGCTCATCTGGAACATTGTTCTCATCCATTTGTTGTTCCCAAAAAGACAGGAGATTAGCACCCGGTCATCAATTTATCATCTCTGAACCACTTTCTAGTCATTCTCAAGTTCACCTTGGAGTCATACTTAGCTCTTCACTGGATGTTCACTCCAAGTTTATGGATGATGAAGGTCGATGTGTTCGATACATATCTCCCCTGCATCCAGACAGTTTCTTTGCTTTGTTCATCATGGGGTGGGGAGGGGGGGTCAGTTTTGGACACTTAAATTTGGACTTGCCTCAGCTTCCTACGTGTTCTGACAAGTCGTTTAGACTTTTGCCTACCTGCTTCATTCCCAAGGCCTTCGTTTATGTCATTATATGTACAACTGGCTGCTTCTTGGCACCTCACAAGATGACTCTGCCCTACATACTCAGTTTCTTCAGGAAGCTGCCAAGGTGGGTTTACTTGTCAAATGGGGAAGTCTTTCCTCACACCTACACAATACTTGGTTCATGTTGGAGTGTTTTT